AACCAGTTCAACATGGAGCTGCAGGCACAGAGCTCCCAGGAGATGTTCCCCTTGGAATCGGGGCCCCAGACTACCAATGATGGGTAACAACAAAGGTTGTTAGTTTTTTTTGCTGTTTCAGCCAATAAAGTTTAATTCTTTTACTCCTAAAATCTGTCTAGATCTCCAACACGCACACTTCTTCTCAAGCCCAGGAGGCACTTACCAGAGTTTTGGGGGTTTTTTGTTTGTTTGTTTTTGTTCTTTACTAACCAATAAGCCCTGACTCCTTGCCTGCCCTCACTGCTGACCTCAGAGCCTCCATTTCTCCCCTGGAAGCAGGACCCCTTGTTCTATATACTTCCAGTGGTTTTTTCACCTGTTTTGTGGGAGAAAGTCGATACTGACTTCAGGGTTGAGGGCCCATTCCCTTGTTGGTGACATATCTATTTCTATATCATCAATCTGCCTACTGTTCTTTTCAGCGCTTATTAAAATATTACCTTTTCAATGTATCAGTTAGATGAAGGCATCCACACTTCTCCAGAGTTTGAGATACACCACCTCTCTCTTATGGAAGACCTACAGTAGTATCTGCTTTCACAAATTGAAAACAACTGAAGGACAGTTTTGACGTTTACGACAAAGACGCAAAGTGCAAACAGCGTCAGCGTTCATTTTGCAGCAGCCGGAAAGGAGGCCGCGCACTAGAGCTGGGAAATGCGCCGCCAGCTCCGCCCAGGGCTACCACTGATAGTTACAGGCTGTGGAAGCCTCATCTCATTCCTGCTTTACTGCATGTGAGTGATACTTTGGCGTTCTTTGGAAATTTTTTTAGTTTGGTTTGTGGTAGGCTACTTTTTGGATCGGCTTGTGAATGCTTAAAAGTTTTCCTTATAAATGAACGGTCATTTCTTTTTTATGGCAGTTCAGTTTTGGAAAGTTATCCTAGGAATGTTTGACTTTTAAATAGTCGGGGAAAGCTATATTCTGATATCGAAATTATTTTTGAACATACATTATTATCAGTTCATCATAATCTATAAAATGGATTCCTTTTAGCCTGAGTAAATCTTGTTAAAATAAACCTTAACACCGTTTAAAAGTTCTAGACATTTCAAATATTTATTCAGTGAAAAAAATGCGTGCATTTTAATACTGTAATATTGGACTTGAAATTGTTTGAGGCAGATAGAGCATCCAAACAAACATTAAGAATTTTTTTTTAAGATTTATTTATTTATGCATACAGAACTGGGATACAGGAGTGGGGGTGGGAGGAGGGGATTCACCAGAGACAGAGCGGGGAGCAGAACAGGTGGATTGACTGAAATACACTGCTGAGGGGAACAGCAGGTGGATCAGGAGAAATCTGTCATGCCATGTGGGGTACACCGCTGGCGGGGGATTGAACTCATGCTGCAATGGCTGCGATAGCTTCACAGTGCTGTGCTTTATGCTGTGCCACTAGGGAGGCCCCCAAACATAAGAGATTTTAAAGCCTATGACAGTCTTACAAATTCCCTGTTTGTCTCAAGCACTGTTTCACTAGTAAGATAGCACACCAAGAATACTGGAGCTGAAGTAACATCAGGATTATAATAGCCATTTCTACCACACATCAGCTGCAAAACTTGGATATATCATGTGTCCCTAATTATTGACTTTCCTGTTTTTAATACAAGAGGTTTAGGCCAACTGATCTTGACATTTTCTTCCAGGCCTCCAAATATTGGATTCCACAAGTTTCCACTTACTCACACATGCTGGGGAATTTTTTTTCCTGATATTTAAATTATTTGCCACAAAGAAATAGATCTTAGATTCTATTTACAATTTGACCATTATTCTCTAGAGAAGAATTTGACATTTCTCAAAGGGAAATGAGATAAATCTATGGCTGTTTTATTGCATATGATAATGATTAATGAGCTTTAACTGTTACCTGAACAGCCAAATAAGTTCCCTACTGTCCTTCAAATTGCAAACCTTCATCTCCTAACTTTAAAACATATACAAAAATCTATCTCACACTTATTTCCCTTCTAGGTGCTCTTTTTTTTTTAATCTCCTACGTATTACTTTGATCATGCACTCATATTGTAGGAATGAATACTCTACTTCCAAATGTGTTCCGGTTATGATACCCTGAGTCTTCCTGTTCCACTAAGGTAGATAATTTCTTTTTATCAAATTTTGGGAATACATCCTTTCCTTTAGTTAATTTTACCTTCAGGGATAGTTGTTCCATTGTGGTCCTTTGAGTTTATTACAGTGTTTGCAAAAATACTTTGGGAAATGGCACAGGCAATTTCATCCTGTAGGGTTGGCCTCTCCTACTGAGAGACTGTTCAAGATCGCCTTATGCTATCAGCCTCATAGGGAATTGCCTTCAGCATAAGGTCAAACCTGCTTCTCAATGCAGTCCACATCCAATAAATTAATGTCCCACTGGGACAGTTTCAAGGACCATATGAGCTTTAGAATTCACCATATCACCCAGGTGGCTGTATCTGTCCAAAATTTTCCCTCTCAGTTCTGCTATCTGCCTTCTGCTTCACCCTTTTCAGGTGATCCTGAAAGTAGTCACCACTGAGCTCCCTGCATGGTAATTTCCATCTTGGAGTTTTTTTCCCAGGGAACTTGGCCAGGAGTGTGTTACAAACTAAACTACTATATTATCTCTGTTACCTCTGTAAAGCAGATTGGGAAAGCTGAAAAATAACATAGTTTTAATTATGAGTGATGAGGGGCAGAGTACAATCTTTCAACTCACAACATTAAGATTTCCATTTTAGCACAAACTAGCTCTACATATTATCCAAAATTTCCTATGAATCAGTTTGCTAAGATTTCTGCTAAAGAATCATGGGAATGTTTGGACTCCCTGGTGGTGCAGCAGTTTGAGACAGCACTGCCAACCTATTACCAACCACTACAGCATCATGAGTTTGATCCCTGGCAGGCCAAGGAGCTAACCAACATGGCACAGCAGACCTTTCCTCTCTCCCACCCCCTGCTCCCCTCAGCAGTGTGTTTCAGTAGACCTGCTCCCCATTCTGTCCCTGGTGAATCCTCTCACCCTACCCTCCACCCCCCCACCCCACCCCCACACACATACTTCTGGCCTACACCCCAGCTTCTGTATGCATAAATAAATAAATCTTTAAAAAAGAATCATGAGAGTGTTATGTCCCTATACTGAATAATTGGTCTGATAAGGCCAAGTCTTGCTAATATTTCTTCTCCTTCTTTTTATACTCTTGCATTGATATAAGAATTTAAATTCTTCCCATAGTGATTGGACCATATACTTTCCATAGTTATTGGATTGCCTCATTCCCACCAGCAGTGTGGGAGATTTCCTTTTTCTCCACATCCTCTACTAAATATGGAGCTACCATATGACCCAGCAATTCTATTCCTAGGAATCTACCCAGAGCACACAAAAATATTAATTAAAAAAGATAACTGCACTGCTATGTTTATTGCAGCACTATTTACAACAGCAGATTTGGAACAACCCAAATGCCCAAAAATAGATGACTGGATCAAGAAGATGGGGTATATATATATACAATGGAATATTATTCAGCAATGAAAAAATATAAACTCATGCCATTCACAGCAAAATAGATGGAGCTAGAAGTGGTCATGCTCAGAGAAATACAGAAGAAAAAAGAAAAAAATATCAAATGATTTCACTTATAGGTGAATATATGAGAACCAAATAAGGGGTGAGGGGGAGATCAATAACAACAACAGCAAAACTTTAAAAATAAATAAGAGACAGTCTGCAAGGCAAGGGAAGGAAAAGGGATTAAAATGGGAGAGAAGAGTACAAGGGGCTATAGTGAAGGTTCATGGGTGAATTGGTGGTGTGAAATTTACAGGGAATACACAATGATGTAAAAGATATAATATACATATATATATATTAAAGAATTTAAATTCTGTATTTATTTTTAGTAAGCATCTCATTATTGTGTGACATACATACACAATATACACAAGTTCTTAGGTTATAGGTTAGTGACATTTTACCAGGCTAATACTCTGTAATGTGCCAAAAATAAATACATTACAGGCATCCCAGAAGGTTCCTCTGCCACCTCTCAGTCACTCTAAAAGTAACCTATTTTCTAACTTCCAAGATATAAACTAATTTTGCTAAATGCACTTGTTTCCATTTAGTTTTTCATTGAATGTTCTATTTGTGAGATTTGTCTATGCTGTTGTGCATTTTATGAGATATTTTCATGAACTTTAGATGCTTATTTGCAATAACTGTTCCTACTGTAACTGTTTTTTAATAGAATGATGGTTTATTTTTATGAAAACTGTAATTTGAAGACTATTTTACTCTCAAAATTCTATCAGATTGGACATATATCCCCAGCTATTAACATCTATTTAAGTTTTTGTGAATATTTTATAAAAAGAACTTTAACACAGAGACTTACCTACCACTAACTACTATAATCAGTGCTCATGATGACAAACTATGAGGGAACGCTAAATTAAGCAAATTGCATTTTCAGAACTCTCTGAGGATTATTTCACTGTCATTCTGCAGGAGCAGCTACAAAACTGCAAACACCCAGGGGGTTTAAGCATCTAATGTGAATCGGATTTTTTTTAATTTTTATTTAAACTTCACAATAATCCTGTAAGAGAAAATTAGAAATTTTAAAAGTATAAATGGGAGGGAGTTTCGCAGTCCTTTCTTGCCTGTAACTGCCATCATTCACATCCGGCATCGACAAGCCGAAAGCACGGATCTAAGAGGCAGTGAGCCGAGCAGTGAACAACCAGTCTGAAAGCCGGAGTTGTTGCTGGTGTAAAGCTCCCACTATTGTGAAAGCCTTGCTCGCTCCCAGAGCCCGGGTCACTCACTCCACGTCCGTGCCACAACCCCTGTCAACAATGAACTACATTTCCCAGAATGCTATTTAAGCCGCCTCGCAGAGACCCAATAAGCCTGTGGATGACGCCATCAGTCCGCGCGATGTTTAGACTTTACTGATGTCGTGGCGCTTTGGGGTGAAGAGCCTGGTGCTTGTCTTGGCCCTGGTACCGAAGACGCTGTCCGGGTGGCACCAGGCTCCTTCTTACCCACCACTCCGCTCGCCTTTATCCTCCTTCCTCTGGCAAAATGAGACGTGCAGGCCTGGGTAAGAAGAGGGTTAAGGTTTGAAGTTCGGGACCCCCAGGACAGGCCTTGCTGGGCGCCGGGTCGCGGGCGGAAGTTGATCTAAGCTTAACTCACTGGGATCTAGTGTATGGAGGGGGTCTTTGGAGCCGGTGCCAAGTGAAAACCTCCCTTGTTCGGGAAACTCTAGGGCTTCCCTTAAACTTCATTCAGTACCAAGTTTGGATGGGGGGTTAAAGGCAGTGGTGACGGACTTGGAGGGTGTGTGTAGAGGTGTCAACTCAGAAGGCAAGTTTTGTAGTGTTACCAACTTAGGGAGATTTTATAAACTTGAGTTTCCCAAAGCCCAGCTTTGGTTTCTTTTTCTCTACTTGCCTTGGATTTTAGTTTATTCAGAAGCGAAATCCAAAGACTGAGTTCAGTATAGGAACTACACTAATAATCACATGAGACAGATAACAATGTCATTATTATTGAAGACCGGAATATGTAACATAGGGTTAAAGGTTATTTTACCTAGCATATTTCTTATCTAAGCCTTGTTCAACTGTTAAGGCAGTAAGTAATATGTGGTAAGGCTTACAAGAGGCTTACAAAGCAATTGCAGTAAGCTAGGCATAAGGACTTATAATCGGACATTTTTATGCACAGCTATTCTAGTAGCGTTTTCTAGTTCTGAAGCTCTCTATGAAGAGACTTTTTTAAAAATCAATGTTGTACACACTTGAGAAAATACATGAAGTAGCTGAATAAAATTACCTTTTTAGGTGTTAACAGTAAAATGGAAAAAAGAAAAAGCTTTTTTTAAATGTTAGAAATTTAAGTCAGCAAAAGTTGCTAGTACTAAACATTGGCTAACATAGCATGAGAAATCCCTCAAAAAAACTTATGATTCCATGCTTGACCAAGGAATGTACAAAGTTAAGTAACAGTGAATTCAGATTCTGCCCATTAACTCTTTCATTTACACATTTATTGAGTGTTCCTTAACCCTGTGCGTGTATGTGTGTGTCTACATTTGTGGGGAATATACAACCATGAGTAAAATAGTTTCTGCCCTTGGAGTGTAGTCTAGAGTGCAATAAGTGTCATTTATAGTTAGAGTAGTAAGAATTGAAAGAATAAGTTTTGCTTTTTAGAGCACGTGAGATCTTAAAAGAGCTTCCTGTTCACATTCAGACCTTTCTTGAACTACCAGCACTGGCTGGTACTTCCTATCTTTCCATCTCATTGTTACTGCTTCTTTTTCTGTTCTTAGTGTTACAAAACCCTCTAATTTCTATGTCATCATATTTCCCCCATAATCTCAGGCCATTAATCAATCTGTTCTAATCCATGGTCCAATGTAGTCCCTATAATTCATGTCTTTAATCACTCTTTTGACAATCTCATTCTCGTGGGGTTAGGTTTTTCTGTAGCCAGAACTCTGTAAGTCTCTAATTCTTAGTCAATGCAGCCATCCATGTTTTCATGGCTAATGAGACCATATTTTATATTTGTGCAGAAAAATCACACATCTGGGAGAATTGAAAGCACTAAAACATAATTGCGTCAGTCAAGATTATTTTATCCCCTGGTGATTATGAGTAGTCTTAATCTCTTGTCTTCATTTAGTCTCCTTGGTGTTTATTTCAAATGACCATATTCTTCACAGTCTTTGGCTGAAAAATTGATGGTTTTGATTCTTAAAAAAAAAAAAAAAGACTGAACTGGTCCTCCTGGTGGTGGTTCAAGGGGTTGAGCCTCAGCACTATGAAGCTGTTGGCAGCAGAACTCTCCTGTCTTACCCATGGCTTCCCTCAGCAGTGTATTTCAGTCAGTCTGCCTGTTCTGCTCACCGTTCTGAAGGGGTTGAGCCTCAGCACTATGAAGCTGTTGGCAGCAGAACTCTCCTGTCTTACCCATGGCTTCCCTCAGCAGTGTATTTCAGTCAGTCTGCCTGTTCTGCTCACCGTTCTGTCTCTGGTGACTCTTATACACCACCCCCCAACCCCAGACACACACACACACACACACACACACACACACACACACACCCCTGGCCTATACCCCAGCTCTTGTATGTAGAAATAAATAAAATAAATCTTTTTTAAAAAATTGGAATACCTTCAACTACCCTTTCCCCTCTGAGACCCTAGTGCATGTTATATTGTCACCCTTCAAGATTAGTCTACCTATTTCATTGATGAGTAGCAAGTACTAGATTAAGCATGTATTCTCAGGAAGATAAACTCCATACATGTAGCACTTATAAAGAACAATGGATCTGACACATGATAGTTAATTCAAATATTGGTTGAAGAATGAATTAATCCCCCTTTTAATTCTCAGGTAATGTTCTCCATTAGCCTATAAGACTGTTTTTCTGGCATGAGTTCCCTCCTGCCATATTATCCTCTTTCTCTCTTTCCCTTAGTAGCCAAATTTCTTCAGTAGGTAGTTGGTATTACCACTTTCAGATCTCTTTTAAAATTCACAGTTTTATTGAGCAGGGAGTATATCCTGAATATCATTGTATGTAATATCATTGTCAGTATCTTATGAGCAATCAGTACATGATAAATGTAAAGTGAAATGAACTGAATAGTCTTTGCTTAAGAGCTGGTATTAGAATTGTTCTGAAAATTCACTTGAAATGTGAATATTATAGACATACATGGTCTGCAACGCCCCCCAGGGGTCTTTTTCAGTTCCTATCATGATTTCAATTCTTCCCTATCATGATTTCAGAAAATACCTTCTATTTTAGCTACAACTCTATTTGTGACTTTCTGATCTTTGCAGGTGAAGGAATACCTCCTGGCAACCATAGAAACTATGGCTATGCTAATAGTGGGTACAGTGCTTGTGAAGAAGAAAATGACAGACTCACTGAAAGTCTGAGAAACAAAGTCACTGCTATAAAATCTGTAAGTATATAACATATTAGATACTTTTAAATTTATATGTATACATATATAATTTATAAGCTATTCACTTTTATTGGTATCATACTAAGAAAATGAAGTCAAAGTTTACTCAAAACTTAGAACATTATTTGAGTAGAAAAAAAGTTAGGAAATGTGGCCAATCAGAAGAAATGATACATCTGCTTGATTTTTTTTTTTTTAATTTCCAGCTGTTTTTGTAGTTGAGTCAAAATACCATATTTTGTCTGTAGTAGTGTCTCAGAACCGTCCATCTTCCATCCCCATGCAGCTCTCTCACATTTTCTTCTTTTTATCTTATAAGCTATAAAACTCAGTCTTGAATGTTTCTTTGACCTCATGTTAGTTACTAAGTCTTCTGCTTCTTTCCCCATTTTTTCTATTCTTAATAGCATTATTGCCTGGTTTTCTTAGGTGAACTAGCTCTTCGTAACTCTCTCCATATTTGTATGTTCTGGTGTGAGTTCCATACTGTCACCACTGTCATCATCTGTTTAAAGTATTTTTTAAATTGCATACAAGAGTCATCAATGTCCTCCCATGATATAGTAAATAAAGTTTATGTACTGTTGCTGGGTCAAATAGGGTCCTTCAAAAATTGGCTGCCACTTTTCCAACTTTACCTCCCACACTTCCAGAATGTGTATATGCTTTCTGCCAGACAACTAGAGTCCACTCAATGTACTATGCACACTGTCACTTTCTCACCTCCATATCTTGGATCATGATATCCCTTTGCCTGTAGGTATCCACTCCCTTCTTATATGTTGCTGATGTCTTCTTGTTCATTGCACTTAATTGTACCTCTTCCCTCCAATCTTTACCTGACTAAAACATCAGAGTAGTAACATTTTTCCTTCTGAGCCTAAGATCAATTGTACCATTCCTGTAACACTTACTGAACAGTGATCTGCATTAGAACTATCTGTATATAAAAGAAATTTACCAGACTGGAGGATTTCCTATTGTATGTTTGTTTGTTTGCTTGTTTTTAACATTTTGAAAGGACACTTTTATTAGGAAATAGAAAAAGCAAAAGAGAGGCACATGCATAGTCACAGGTGGGCAGGAAAGCTGTCTATTGTACTTATTTGTATATTCTACACAGTACCTTGCATAATTCCTTATTAGTGGTATTGAGTAAATATGTATTGAATGAAAGAATTACAAAAAGATAATGTTGCTGGTTATAATTGATTCAGCATTATAAACTCACTATATACTTACGGAGCATTCAGTAATAGCTCATGCTATCAGAACCTAACGTGTTTCATTAATCTTGAAAAATTAACTTTTATTCATTTTTGGAGACTTTTACATTCCAAAATTAGTACTATTTTTTTTTCAAACTCACTGTAAAACACATATAAGGAATTAAAATTAAAAAAAATTTTTTGAACTACATGTTAATAATTTAGGTCCTTAGTTAAAGGAAAACTGTGATGCCTGAATGATAGTTACAGGGAAAATGTTGGGTGGTTTGCACTGTCTGCTTTGTACCTCTGAATTATTAAATTTGGGGGAAAAGCACATATTCTGTACTATAGAATTCTGTGGTATTTTGTCAGTATTATTCCATATGCTTCCCAAACAATAATTTGCATATCATATTTACAGTGTTTGCCAAGATTTTCAGTAATTTGTTTTATTATTTATTCAAACACCTTAAAAATAAAACCTTCAAAAAATTTTTATATAGCATATTAAATAGCTTTGGGGTTGAGTAACTTTCATAACTACCCATGTAGTATTGTTTACTTTAGGATCAGCCTTTTTTCCTGAATAGCTTCAGGAAGTGGATAACACTAACTTGTAATTTTTTAAGGAAAAAAAAACCTTTAAAATCTAAAGAAATGTAATCACATTTCATTATACTTTAAAATATAAAGGAGGAAATATAGAAATAAATGCTGTTGTATGAATAATACAAAAATACAGAAAAAGCATGCAAGGATAAAAGAACCATGGAGAGAAGTCTATATTAAAATTCAAAAATGGAATTAGATATTAAGTTGAAATCAAAATGAAGAACTGAGACAACGCAGAGTTGCAAAGGAATAGAAATTCTAATTTGTTTTCCATTAATTTCAGTGGAAAAAGTATCAGAAGACAACAGTATATTTTATATTTCAAAAATAAGGTTTTATTTGGGAAATTTTTTGATACTTTCCTCCCAGTAATAATGTATATGTTTTCTTCTTTATAGCTTTCCATTGAAATAGGCCAGGAAGTTAAAAATCAAAATAAATTATTAGCTGAAATGGTAAGTGTCTATGTTTTTAACTTTAAGAAATTTGATCATTATTCTCAAATTTAGTCTGCTGAGCAGGAGTAATAGGGTTTTAATATTTATCTATTTGAAATTGATCTAAAGATTATAAGTCCTCCATTTCCATCCATTTATATTTAATTGATTTTAAATAACAGTCAGGTATTTTTGCCACATTTTGTATTTTTCATCTTGCCTCATGTAGTAGGAGGGAGTGCTAAAAGCCAACTTATTTTTTAATACTGTGCTTAGAAATACTGTTGGAGACTAAGGACATATGTCTGTTAAGTCTCAGGGCTCTCAAAACTATGCAACATCAAAATGCATTTTATATACCCATCCGATCTATTATCTTAATGTAAACTTGTTTCTTTGCTAAGATCTCCCCAGTAGTCACAGTGGACAAAACATAGTATCACCCAGAGTCTTTTATCTTAGACTAAACAAACTCAGCAACATATACTTTTTCTTATAACCACCTACTTTCATTCTTTATTGCTTATATCAATAAAGAAGATGACAAGCTTCTCAGACCTTCCTTAGTTTGTTAGTATACTTTTAAAATTATACCATTTGGAAATGAATGTGGCATTGAAAGCAACATTCTTTCAAAAGTTGTTCAGTTACCTGAGGTATTTTCTAAACATATATTCTAAATATACTCTGCATACTGACACTCACTTTAAATAGTAATTAAAATTTCAGGAAGGAGTTTTGAAAAGCACCCCAAGTGAATCTGATACATAAACATAGTGAAGAACTGTATATCTAAAGTACATGAGTTACACATATTTAAGGCATTAGAATCTATTTTATGTTTCTTTTCTGCCTATAGGATTCACAATTTGATTCTACAACTGGATTTCTAGGGAAAACGATGGGAAGGCTGAAGATTTTATCAAAAGGGAGCCAAACAAAGCTGCTGTGCTATATGATGCTGTTTTCACTGTTTGTCTTTTTTGTTATTTACTGGATTATTAAACTGAGGTGATGCAAATAAGTCTGAGTTTGGAATTTGTCCCAGTTTAGTGGCTTGGAGTGCCACTGCAAAAAAGTCAGCATCTGAACATTCCTAATTCTCAAATACTATGGCTTTTCCATTGAAGATCATCAAATTTGACTTGTTTTATAACTCACTTTAGGTAATACAGTGCTCTTTTAATACTGTTTCTTAATGATTCATTGTTTGCCTCTATTTTCAGGGGCACTGAGTGGCCTGAAACCAGCCCAGCCCTAATAATTTTACATTGTTTGCTAACTTTCAGGTGAGATAGCAATATGATCTTCTGTTCCTACCATAAATGTAGGCATCTGCCCCATAGGGACACTTAGTCACATTGTAACAAAATGCTTGGAGAGCCTGGAGAGCCTAGTACTGTGCTCCTGAGGGAGTGAACAGTTTGTGACACAATGGTAAATGCAGTTTCCTGAATTGTCATCAACGGAAACAATGCACTCTCCTTTCCTCCTTTATTTGGCTAAAATTGTGGGTTGCAATCTTTTTCTCTACAATTTTTCTAATTTTTGATGATATAACTCCATCAGTTCCTCTAGCCAATGGCCTCATTCTTTAATAAAAACTTGTTATTTGGGAATATTTCTAGTAGAGTCCAACATAATTATGTACTAGTATAGTTGATGTTTTCTATTGACTTTATACATATCATTGGTTTGGCTTCTAATAGTTTTATGATTTTAGCTACTTTTAGTTATTTGTGACAGAATAATGTGAAGCTAAAGTAATTGCTAAGCTTTGAGTAGAAATAAAGTGTTTAAGAAAATGAATTGCCTCTGCTGCATTACATGTTAAAGGATATATTGAAGAATACTGAATTTGCAAGTAAGACTATTGTCACTTTAATCCAATATATTTGTTTATAGAAAGCAAAACGCAAGGTGGACTGTTGAGTAGAAAGAAATATTAAAATGTTAAATACTCTGTATTTCTCCTGTTTTGGAACGTATCCATTTATAGGTTCTCAATAAATTTTTTAATGAAATATATTAATTGACTTTGTTGCTTCTCTGGTCAAGTCTCTAATTTTTTATGTAGAATTTGAGAAACAGTTCTGAATCCAAGATTCTGAACAAAATCAGTGAAAATTAATATATATTGACTCAGATTTTTTTTCAAAGAAGTCATGACTGCAATTTCTACATTTCTCATTTTTCTTTTCCATTATAAATATTGTCTTTAATTTCTGCCTAGTTTGCATTGCAACCCTTTTACTTATCCCTAATAACCTGTCAATTTAGGGTCCTATCATTTCTAGTAAAAACACTAGAACTGAGAAGTGTTGTGATTCAAACAGCCTTTAAGAGAAGCCTGAGGTGGAATGGGAGAGAAAGTGGTTTGAGTAAAGCAAGGCTTTTTTTTTTTTTTTTAAAAAGATGTATTTATTCATACAGAACTGGGGTACAGGCCAGAGATGCGGAGGGTGAGAGGATTCACCAGAGACAGAGTGGGGAGCAGAACAGGCAGATCAACGGAGTACACTGCTGAGGGGACCAGCGGGCGGGTCAGGAGAGGTCTGCCACGCCATGTGGATCACCTCCAGGGCAGGACGGGATCGAACTCATGCAGAAGTGGCTTTAGCTTCTTAGTGCTGTGCTTTAACCCGCTGCGCCACCAGGGAGGGCCCAGACCAAGGCTTTTAACTCCATCCCTGTGTTTATTTTGTCTGGGACATTAGTTTCTTCATTAAATTAGCTATTTTACAGGATTATTATGAAAAGTAAACAACATATTGTGAAATACCTGGTAAATGATAAACACTCAGTGTTCTCCCTCTTATTCACAGAAGTTACACATTAGAAAAGTGAGTTACTTTAGAAGACAGTAGGTTGGTTCAGGTTTTGATGGGATTTCCCAAGTGGGAATTTTTATTTAACAATTAGGATAAACTTCTTTACTCAATATTTATGTACGCTGTGCCAATTATGTGACATGAAAGACATTATCAATCATTGAAATTACAAATATAGGAGAGAATAGGTCAAAGAAAGTGACCTAAAGGTGGAAACAGAATCAATAGTGTAAAGAGATGAGATCACAGCCTTAGGAAACCAGGAATAGCAAGAAAAGGAAGGATTTCAAGATGAAGGTTTGGCTCTTATATGAAAGTATCCTAAAGTATTAAAACTTCTTAAGTGTTGGGTATTATTTATTATCAAGGAGGTGGACATTTCAGCAAGAGGTATTTGAATGGAAGTGGAAGTAATTCTCACTATTGGATTGTTCAATATTCCTTATTTCACAATTAAAAAGACTTTAAGAACTGCTTAAAACGGGAGCCTCCCAAGTGGTGCAACAGGGTAAGTCTCAGCATTATCAAGTTATCAGCAGCAATGCAGCATGAGTTTGATCGCTGGCCAGGGAGCACCCACATTACCCAGCAGCCCTCTCCCGTTTTTCCCATTGCTCCCTTCAACACTGTATTTCATTTAATCCTCTCAGCCATCTCCCCTGCCCTGTACTTCTGGCCAATACCCCAGCTTTTGTGTGCATAAATGAATAAATCTTTAAAAAAAAAAAAAACTGCCTAAGACAGGTTCAGCATTGCATATTATCCACTGTGATCACTGCCTTTGCTGAGATTCCTAGGAGGCAGGGAATTTCCTGAAGGGGCAATTTCTGGGGAGGTACCTGACCTTAAGTTATCTGAGATCCTTCTGTCAGTATCCTAAGAATGTGTAGAAAAAATACTCCCAGAAATAAAATATCAGTAAAACATTAAGTTTGGAAAAATTCTAGTCATTTATAAGCTCATTATTAAACTATGAAATGTTTCCTAGAAGCTCATAATAACACTTGAACAGAAAATATTTACACTGAATTCTTTATTATAACAGCATGACTTGCTGATGTGTGAGTGGTAGGTGAGATATAATTATCAAGTATTTGTTTTTAGAATATTTTATTACTTAGCACTGATCATGTGACTACATTGCATTTGGGACATCTAGGGTACACTATTCCCCACATCCCAATTGTGGTGAAGTTAAGATAGATTTTCATTATGGTAGTGGGTAGAGAAGAGGAGGAGGGAAATAAGGAGAATATATATAATCTGCACCATCCCTTACAGATATTAGGCATAGATCTCTAAACTGAGGAAAGAGATTGTATATGATAGTTTATTTCATCATGCAAATTAATTCTTTGATATTATTTGGGCAGGGAATAGATGTTAGGTCTATACAACTATGCAGTGTTTTAAAGCATCAATTCTGGAGCAGAAAACCCAAGCACCTGCACCCATAAAAACTGGTTTTCCTAATTCTCAGTGCTTTTAAATTTCAAATATTAGGCATTGAACTTGTTTCTTTATAGAGAATGTGAAAGAAGTGCTTGATTATCTGGATTCATTCAGTCAGTAAATAACTTCATCAAACCACACTGATGAATAAACTTTGATAAATATTTACTAGGAAGCAGAATAGAATTGTAGCTGTGACTAAACGCCATGAAGTCACATTTCAAACATCTTAATTGCACCACACACATAGCTGAACGGATGGCTTCTCTACCTCAGTTACTTTATAATACAGGAGAAAAATCTGTATATATGTAGCAGCAATACACTCAGTGTATTTTGATAATCAAATTATTTTATGCGTAAAGAATTTAGAATAGGTTCCTCGTATTCAATAATAGTTATTGCCCTTATGGTTCTGGGGGAGGAGGGTGGGAATTCTAATTTGTCACTCGAGCCTCCTCCTCAAAAAAAGTTTGACCACTTTTTCCTCCCCAGTATATTGTTAGGGATGAAAGCAGCTGTTTGTCTTTTCTCTTCTAGGAAGGATCCATCATTTTCTCAAACTTAGTTCATTTAGATTTTTTTTTTT